CATCGTTGCTCTTCAGTACTTTGGAGAGTTCTCTGACAGCAGAGTTTCCCAATGCAGTTCGTCTTTTAATTTCCTGGCTGCTGGTGCCAGGAGTGTTGATTGTAGAGCCAAGCAAACTAAAGCTGTGAATAATCTCTTCACCATTTATCATGATGCTGCCAATCGGCCCAGTGTTGAGAATCTTTGTTTTCTTGATGTTGAGCTTCAATCGATATTGAAGGCTACAGTCCTTGACCTTCTGCAGCAAGTGCTTCAGGTCTTCCTCAGTTTCAGCAAGCAGGGTTGTGTCATCTGCATAATGCAGATTGTTCATGTGTCTACCTCCAACCCTGATGTCACAGTTCTCCTCATAGAGCCCAGCCTCCCAGATAATCTGTTCCTCATATAGATTGAAAAGATACAGAGATAGGATACATCCTTGATACATACCCTTCCCAATTTTGAACCCTGCAGTGTTTGCTTTCTCAGTTTTGACGACTGCCTCCTGGTCCACATATAGGTTTTGCTGGGACTCCCATTCTTCTCAGAGTCAGCCACAGTTTGTTGTGATCCATACAGTCAAATGTCTTTGCATAGTCGATGAAACATAGACATTCCTCTGGTACTCTGCTTTCAGTCAAGATCTATCTGACATTAGCTATAATGTCCCTAGTACCATGGCCTCTTCCAAACCCAAGCTGCACTTCAGGTGGTTCTCTGTTGATGTGCTGTTTCAGTCATTTTTGGATAATCTTCAGTCATTTTTGGATAATTTTGCTTGCATGTGATATCAGTGATACTGTTCGATAATTTCCACACTCTGTCGGATAATCTCTCCAAATTATTGAGGAGTAATGATGTCAGTTTGAGGACTAAGGTACATCTTGATTCAGGCCATGGCCTTTACAGCTACTTACTATGCATCTGAGAGTTGACAGCGAATAAGGATGACAGAAAATGAATTGACACCTTTGAGTTGTCGTATTGGAGAGGAGCACTGAACATCTCATGGACAGCCAAGAGAATGAACAGATATATCTTGGAGAAGGTTCAGCTGGAGTTCTCTTTAGAGGCAAGAATCATGAGACTTCTTCTCACATGCTTTGAGCATGTTGTTAGGAGGGGCTATTCCTTGGAGAAGGACATGATGCTGGGAAGAATGGAGGGTTGAAAAGGAAAGGAAGACCCTCAACCAGGTGGACTGACACAGTGACTGCTGCAATAGGCTCTAGTATGTCAGGAAATGTTAGGATGGTGCAAATCTTTTTGTTCATAAGGTCACTATCAGTCATACTTTTCTCAACGGTACCTAACAACAACTTTTTTTTTTACAACTTTTGTGTCTTAAGCATGTAGGTGTCACCATCTAAAGACAGAACTGCTGGTCTCTTCTGGAACATAGAAGAATGAATGAAATCTAAGGAAAAGAAGGAAATAATTAGTTCAAAGATTAATGGGTCACATGAACCAGAAAAACTGGATGGTACCTAGTGACCACTTCTAACTACTCTAAAAATCAGCCAAACAAGAGACAAGTCTATGAATTAAACAGTAACATCTAGAGAAAGATATTCCTCAGAACTATCCAATCATAGAGGGACCAAAAGAGCAGTATTTGCCCAGAAACAAAGTTCAAAAGGCAGGAATGGAATGGGTGGGAAAGAACAAATGAAAATGAAGCCACAGAGGAAGTGGGAAAAGTGCTTTCACATTGAGGGGACTTCAACTAATATCAGAAAACAAAATGTTTGTAGGTTGTTGAATAAGAAAACAATAAGATATTGGTTTTAAAAAGTCAATGATAAATAAAAATTATAATACATCATGATTAAGAAAGCTCTGGTGGCCTAGTGGTAAGAAGCTGCACTACAATCCCAAAGAACATCATAAATAGGCTGGGATTATTCAAAGTTTTCTTGGATTAACTAGTTGAATTTACTTGCGTTTATGTAGGATCATTATGAGTTAGGATTATTTTTGTGGTTATAATTTGGATTTATTTGTGTAGCAATAACATTTGTAAATTTAAAAATTCTGTAGTGTGAAAATCATTATATGAAATATGATTTTGTTCTTTGATTCCCATTTAAAATAATCATAATACTTAGATTATCCATTTAACTCTATTATTTTATATCTTCCCTAAGTAATCCGTTATTATGGAAATAGTTTGTCAACATAGTTTTCACTGAAGACACATTCAAAATATTTGTCTGTAACCAATTTCATCATTTCTAAGAGACCTAAGTTATACTTCCTGTTTTTCTTTTGACTTGCTTCAATTATTTTTATTTTTTTCCTCATACGATAGTATTTGTGTTGGCTATCTCATTGGCTAATGGAATAGGTCCAAGGTTTAAGCTGTATTTCTTTTTATAAGGAAGCTTTCAAAGAAGGGTATTTTTCTTTCCTTTTAAATGTAAAGTGATTAATCATAGTGCTCCCTAAGGATGATTCAGCTAAACCAACTAGAAATCAAAATCATTTGTTAAACTTTCTCAATTTTTAAACTTAAGGACGTGTGTGTGACTTTTAGTATTTGCTTTAAAATATTTTGGAACAGAGAAAGGGAAGTAGATGGCATAAAAGTGGAGAATGTTGGTAATTGGTGGAACTAGATAGTGGAGCATGGAGTTCATGACACTCTTCTAATTTTATGTATTGGAAAATTTTCATAATAAAGAGAAAAATAGTGAAATTTGCCTTTCCCTTAGAGATTTCAAAGTCTAGTCATGTGAACTGAAAGATTATAGTTGTTTTTTAAAGACATGGAAAGACTCCACAAAGGAGAATGTTCAGATGGCCAAGAAACACATGAGGAAAATGTTCAAAATCACTAACAATTAGAGAGATGAAAATTAAAGCACCAGTGAGATTCTATCTCACCCCAGCAGCAGTAGCAAAGTTTAACAACATAGGGGAAAAAAATGCAGAGAACATGGAGAGATTGGGACTCATATGCACTGCTGGTGGAATTGTAAACCAGTACAATTGTTACGGAACTTGTTTGGAGTTTTCTTAAAAACTTATGACCCATATGATTCCATATGACCTATCTATTCAACTGCAAGGTATATATCCCAAGGAAATCAGAACTGAGACATGAATGGGCAAATGTACTCCCATGTTCATAGCAGCATTATTCACAATAACAAGAAAATGAAAATAGCCCAAATTCCCATCAACAAATGAATGGATTGAGTCTGTTATGGCTCGGTTCCAACTTGAACAACAAACCTTTAATGAATCCATGATTTTTCTTAATGTGTAATGTTTTAAGAAAAATGGACAAAAAGACTTAATTTTGTTGCCAAGGCAGTGGCCATTATACAAAAATAGAAGAAGGTGTTTCATTTGTTGTCTTTGATATATGTATGTCTTAGTTGTAAAGAATTGTACTGCTAGCCCGATGGTACTCGATTCAAATCCACTAGCTAGCTGCTCCAAAGATGAACAGTCTCCTTACATGTTATTTACAGCCTCTGAAACCCTGCTGGAGGTCAGCTATGAATTGCTTCCAACTCAGTGTTTCTCAACAACAACTAATTAATCAAAATTTTCTATTGTGACTGTATTGTTGTTAAGTGCTGTAAAGTCATAGACAAAACATAGCGACCCCATGAACAAAAGTCTTGAACACTAAACTTTCATCTTTTCTCCAAGTTCATAGAGTTTCTGGAGGTGAGCATTTTTTTTTTTTTTAACATGACATGTGTATATGTCAGGATGTGCCATTTTGAAACACTTATTTTGTGCTTTTTTTTTTTTTGCTATTTAACTTTGACCATGGATCTTCAGTTTCTTTGTAGTATTATTTTAAATACTAGACTAGGTCCTCTAGTATTTCTTCAATTAATATTATATAATTTTATGATAAGTTTATATCAAGGTATATTTTTAGAATTGAGATGAAAGAAACTGGTACACAGTTTGTATTCTGAAAGATGGAAAGACACATAATCATTTGGAGCACCTATTGCCAGAGCCATTTTAAATAAGCTTGGTTTTGTTTTAACTAGTAAGGTTTGTGGGGAGCTCTGATGGCATAGTTCGTAGATACTTGCATTGCTACCAAAGGTCGAGCCTCTCTGAAGGTTCACATCCTTGCGTAACTTCATAGGAGAATGATGAACAATCTCATCCCATGCTATTTACATCCTCCAAAATTTGCTTGAGGTACACCTATCAATCAATTCCTATTCGACAGCAATGAAAGTAAGATATGTGATAGTTCACAAATCTATTATATGATAGTGTTAACATATACACTACATCTGTTGCTGTTAAAGCTGTTTTACCTGAGTTCCTAGAGGACAGAGAATTGCTCTATAGAGGTTTCAAGGCTATAAATTTTGGAAGCTGAACACCACATCTTTCTCCCATGGAGTAGTTGGTGGGATCAACCACCTACTTTAGTTAGCATCAAAGAACTTAACCATTGTTCCAGGGATCTTCCTCTGTAAATCTCATTTCTGATTCTGTTACTCTTTGCCAACTTTGTGGCCTTAGGCTGCTCGCTCAATGCAAAATTGTTTTATCATTTATGAAATAGAGATAATGGCTGCTTACCTCAAGATTGGTGGTCATATGCACCAGCTGCTCAGAAGGAGATGAGATAGTTTGCTTTTCTAAATATCTGCAGCCTTGGAAGGTCTGTAGGGCAGCTGTACTCTGTCCTGTAGGATCACTATGAGTCATAATAGACTTGAAGGCATATGTTCTGGTGTGGATAGTTTTAGGTATCAGAGATAATATAGTTTATGTGAACATGACTACTTAATGCATATATTGTTATTACATGTCATCGAGTTGACTGTGACTCATAGAAACTCTTTGAACAACAGATCAGAACTTTGCCATATTCTGTACTATCCTTCTGATCTCTGCTGTGTTGGAGCTTGGCAGTTTGTCTATTAGTTCTATTTAATATGAATTAGAAGAAAATGGTGTTTGTTTGGTAGATTTCAGAAAATGTTTGTTTTCTAAAGAAGTCTTGATTCCTCTCTCCCCTGATTGTGTAGAACGGAAAGATGCTGAAGGATGGGAGACTGTTCACAGAGGAAGACCTGTTCGCTCACGATCGACAGCAGTGACGCCAAAAGTTTTATTAACAACAGAAGCTTTAAGGTCAAAAGACGACAGCGATAAAGAAAATGTACATCTTTTTTCGGATGAAAGTATACAAAAAGGTGAAACTGTTGGAGACGGACATGCTAATACTGTAGAATCTCGGCCCAGAGATTCATTACACCCATGTGAACATCCACTCACTGAAAGAACCCAGGTAATAAATTATGAAATGGCTTCCTTTCTTAAAAGAAGTGGGTGTGCTTACTAGAATGCCTTATTTTCCCATGTCATTTTCACATTTTATTCTAAAATGTTTTACATCCACACAGAAGTGGCCAGACTAGAAGCAACCTACAAGTAGATTAGACAAATGTTAATGTTTCACCATGTATTTTTCCCTCTCTCTATATACATGCCATATACACATTACAGGCTGAACAATTAGGCTGAGAATATTCTGTAAATATTATCATAATTTGCCTTTAAATATATATAGCGCCAGTTAGTGTTACTCTTGTTATGTATTGTTGAGTTTGAACTGACTCATATCTGATTCTCCAGTGGATTTGCAGAGGCAGTAGTAAATCACACAGGAGGAGATTACACATCTTTCTCTCGTGGTGCTGCTGGTGGATTTCAACTGTGTTCCTTTTGGTTGGAAGCATAACTCTTTACCACTTGGCCACCAGTGTACCCTATCAGGAAATTTAATATTAATTAAAGACTGTACGCTGTAATCCCAAAGCCACATGACTGGAATCACGTCATGTGTGAGTTGGTTCTGATTCAACAAAACACAACAATTGCTGTAATGTACTGAAGAGCAAACATGCAAGTTAAAAGACTAAGCTATGTCTAACATAAGCTGTAGTCTTTTCAATTACTTGTTATGCATCTGAAAGTTGGGTAGTGACTAAGGATGGCAAAAGAAGAATCAATGCTTTTGAGTTGTGGTGCTGAAGGGAACTGAATATCCCGTGGACTTCCAAAAGAATAATTAAGTGTATCTTGGACAAAGTGCAGCCAAGGTGCTCACTGGAAGAAAAGATAGTAAACTTTGTCTCACATACTTTGGGCATGTTGTTAGGTGGGACTAGTCCTTGGAGAAGGACTTCAAGCTTGGAAAAGTAGAGAGTTAGTGTAGGAAAGGAAAACCTTCAACAAGATGGTCTGATATGGTGACTAATAACAGTGGGCTCAAATATATTGGAAATGATGAGGATGGCACAGGTTAGGGCAAAATTCAGCTCTGTTGTTCATAGGGTCACATAACAACACAATTTACTGTCTATGCTCAAACTTTTCCATCTGGCACAGTAATTTCTTTGTAGAATTTTTATCCTTAGTATATAGTTCAGTCTAGAATAATGTATTTCATTTTGCTTCTTGAATGTTTTTTATTAATGACAGTTCTTCAGCCTGTCTTTTTCAGGTATTTTTTAACAATATTGGCTTTTTTTTTTTCGTAGAATGTTCCTTAATTTATTGGCTAATTGGTCATGATTCAACTTGTTGTTGTTGTTGTGTACTCTCAAGTTGGAACTGACCCCTAGCTGACTCTGTGGAGGGTGTTCAGAGGCAGTTAATTGCATGGGAGGAAGTTGCCCATCCTGCAGAGCAGCTGGTGGATTCAAACCACGTGCCTGTGGGATTGCAGCACAGCTTCTTGCTTCTTGGCCACCAGAAGCTTATACTTTTGTTTTGGGCAGGAATAAAGTAATTTTCTTTTAAGTGTCATCCCTAGAGACTTGTATTATTAGTTGGCTGGTACCTTTGATGACTTAATTAAAGTAGTATCTTCCTGCTTCATTTGGTATGCAGTACAAATAATGAAAAAAGAGTTATTTTTAAATTGTTCTACTTGTACTTTTGATAAATCTGTACTTGATAAATTTGCTGATACTTAATAGCATTTTTAAAAAATAATTTTAATGAGCATTTACAGAGATTTTGGATTTCCATTCATTCATTGCTGCAATAGCGTTTTTTTTTTTTTTTATGGAACGCTTCATGAATTTGCGTGTCATCCTTGCGCAGGGGCCATGCTAATCTTCTCTGTATCGTTCCAATTTTAGTATATGTGCTGCTGAAGCGAGCACACAATAGCATTTTTTAAAGTTATTATTTTAATATATGTTAATCTGGTTGACATGTATATGGTGAAGGAATGCATCTGTTTTTAGGTAGTTGTTTATATGAGGATTCATGTTCAATAGGTATAATTTTATATAAAATAACTAATGAAATATAGACAGTGGGGGTTTTCTGCTATCATAGTAGAGAAATTAGATGAGTAAGTTGTAAAATAGTGTTTTTAGACTAGAGTAGCATCTGCTATTTAAAATGTTTTATTTTTATTGTTGTTGTTGTTATGTGCCGTTGAGTCATTTGCGACTCATAGCAACCCTATGTACAACAGCCCTAAACCCTGCTCTATCTGGTGCCAGTCGCACTGCCTCTGACACACCCATCCCGATTACCCCAGTCACTGAATTAATCCACCTCATAGAGGGTCTTCCCCTCCTGCGCTGTCCCTCCACCCTCCCAAGCATGATATCCCTCTCCAAGGACCTGTCCCTCCTTACAACATGTCTAAAGTATGTCAAACGAAGCTCCAGAATCCTTCTATGTTTTATTGTTAGCATATTTTATTTGTGTTTATTTAAATTCTTGACTTTATTTTCTTTCTTAATAATGGCTCTTAATGTTACTCTGCTTCTGGTAGTCTGTAGTGTTTTAATATGTGTTTTTTATGCCCAAATAAAATTAGAAGCTTCTTGCATGCAGATTTTGTGTTGCATTGCATTTTTTTAATTTTCTTAATTGAAATTTTAATGAAAATTTATAGAGAACTTGGATTTCCATTCATTCATTGTAGCATGTTTTCCTACCTGCCTATGCCTACCCCTCCCCACAGTTCACTTTTCTCTTTGAAAAGAAAAAAAATTTTTTTAATTGTACAATTCCACTCTTCCCCGCCGTTACCCCCCCTGCCCCCCGCCGTCCACTTTATTATGCAGCTCTTATGGACTCTTGTCATGAAAATAATACCTAATCATATATTCCTTTTAAACAGTTCTCTCCCTCATCTGTTTCAATGCAGTGTACATTATTTATCCCCTCTTTTTTTAGTTTCCTCCAGTGCTGATGTCAGTCCCTTTTACAACAGTGGCATTATACAGTATTTGTTCTTTGGTGATGCATTGCATTTGTTACACTATGGAGCAGAGCTCATCAGTATATATTTTTTAAACTTAATTTTAAGAAAAAAAATCAGTATTTGTAAACCAAGGCTAGTATTTGTTGGAGAAATAATTTTTTATATTCACATACTCACTACTCAGCAAATTGTTAGCATTTTAACTAATAGAATATAATGTAAATGCCATAGTGGTGTTTTGTACTATTGAGTGGAACCAATTTATAGATGACCCTCCAGTGGGTTTTCAGAGGCGGTTTAAATCCCGCGAAAGGAGATTGTCCATCTTTCTCCTGGGGAGCAGCTGATAGATTTAAACTGGGATTGTACCTTTGGGATTGCAGCAGCTCCTTACCACTAGATAGTGCATTAATTTGTGACGTTGAGATTTAAGGAATAAAGCAGACATGAACTACTGAGTAGTCACACTCTTGCTATAAAGTTCAGTAGAAACGTTCACTGCTGCTGCTGTTCAAACTAATGAAAATCTTTATTTTCTCCACTGTCCTCCTAAGAATGGCATCAGAATATTTATATTTTTTTAACCATTACTTTATAGTTTTAGCTTTAATTTTGTTATATAAATAATATTTATTTGTTAATAAGCATAGTTGACTATATTGTAAACTTCAGTAATGCTAATATAAATATTGCCAAGAAGATTATAAACCATAGTGACTGACATATAAATAATGTTGATAGCAATATAAACAATGTGATAAAATTTAAATAATGCTTATGCTAAAATCAACACTTTGGGACACTCTGAGTTCTGACCAATAGTAGAATTTTAAAAGTAGTTTATAAGACTTGTCCAAGTTTAATATTAATATAAATAATTAATCAAAGTAGAGTTTTTATGGCCCCTACAGTGTTTATTCAGTGTTTATTTAAGAAGTGATGTCAGTGAGTTTAAATTCACAAGTTTAGATTTTAGTTCTTCAGCTTGCAGCTCATTACTCTGAGTATAACTGAAAAATGTAGAAATTGAAAAATGTAGTTCTTTCTGTGCCCTGTCAGAAAATGAAAGTAGAAACTTGGTTCTGTTTGCTAAATGATATAAAATTTTTTTAAATTAATATATAATTTAGGAATGCCAGTGGCTGGTTTTATAGATTGTTTTCTCATTTCTACTATGCTAAATATCTGTAAAGGAGAGTATCTAAATCTGAAGAATATATTTCATGAGACACTGAACATTCTAAGGCACTTTTATTTCACAGTGACTTTCTCTCATCTGTCTGAGAATTGGTACTATGTACCACATGGGTCTTCATCAGTGATATGCTGAGGTTGTATTACTTTTTTTCTGAAGAGAACAGCTTTCATATATTTTAGTAAAATGTCCTCAGAAATATATTTTGATGGAGTGCCTTCATACTGTTTGCAGAAGCACTTACTTAATACAAGGGTTAGTCTTCTCGACTAGTTTGCTAGCATACAAAATACTCATCCAAAATTAGCCTATTGGAAGAATATATTGGTTAATCTCTCAGGGCACTTCAGAAGGTGGTTATTACCTAATAGACAAATTTCCTGTTGCTTAAAATAGGAATAAAAATTGAAACACAAAAAGACAACCTTTTCTGGATAATGGTTGGATAATGATTGATTTAATTGTCAGATAAAAAGTATCACTTCTTCAGAGTTGATAAGTCGAATCTGTTTTTCTGGAGTGCAATAGCTGATGATTGTTTTTTACGATCTCTAATTCATTCTGTAAACATGTTTTATTAGTTCGCAGTGAGTACATTGGATGATGTTAGGAACTCTGCCAGCAATTTTTTACAAGACAACTCCATGCTCTCTTCCGACATACCTGCTGTTCATACTGGTGCAGAGTGTGTACTTATTCAGCAAGCTGACACACCTTCATTGCAAACCAACGAAGACAAATTTCCAGCAGAGAAAGCAAAGCTAGAAAATGAAATGGACCCTTCAGATATCTCAAATGTGAGTGCTGCTAACTTGGTAAGAACAACTTATTAGAATCCTGGGTAAATGGATATTTTGAAGAGTCATAAGCCCCAGTAATAATAACAACTTGCATTGTATATTGCTTTATGTTTTACAAAGAGTCTATGTATGTTATTTAATTTCAGGGTTTTATTCTCAAAATAACTTTTTTTTACAGTTAAGGGTCATTTTAGAAGGGGAATGCGAGACTAAAAGTTAAACAACTTAATGAAAATCATACAGTTTACATGTGGCTTGATCAGATGCTCTTTGGTCTGGGATTAACAAACCAAACTGATAACAAAGTCTTTGTATAATCCCTGGCACTCTGATAAGAATTTAAGTTTTCTGGTCTTAGTTATGTAATATTACAGAGTGCTTTGTATAACTACTGTAAATGTATTAAAAAATTGACCTATATATTGGAATTATATTTACCTTTCCTGCTTCAAAGTCTGTAAAAAATATACTGATTTTGGATTATTGATAGGCTTTTGTTTTTAATGACTGTGTATTTTCTGCTCATCTAGTCCTACTTTTCACAGTGGTATTAAGAAAATTGGTCTAGATATAAATCAAATAGGTCATGTTAGCTCTGTTTTAAAAGTAACTTTCCAAAGACATAAGCACATATGTAAAAAACTGCTGAGAAAAAGTATTCAAGTTTTATGTTTCAAAAACTACCCTACAGTTTCTTTCAAACCTGAGCACTGTATAGTTATGAAAAGTGCTATCTGCAGATGATGTCAGGTCAAGTTATAATGTTTTAGAGAAAGAATAACAGTATGTACAGATGAAACTTAATGTAGATTGTTTAAGGGAAATATAAGGAAATGGGTTATGGTACTCAGAAAACAATAACTTAACTTCTTTTATTAAAATCAAAAGGGGCTCTGGTGGCCTAGTCCATGGGGAGTTGAGTTGCTAATCCTAAAACCACATGTCTTTGGCCATTAAAGTCCACCAGCCACTCCAAAGGAAAACTGTAATCTTCTCCTGTGCAATTTACAGCCACCACTGGAGGCTCAGCTCTTGTATCCCAGTGGAGAGTCTGCTCTGAGCCGGTTCCAACACAACAATAATAAGTTTGGATTTTGAGTAATAAGGTACAATAAGCACATTGGGTTATATCTTATTTTTGAAACTTTTTAAATGTTGAACCTAATCATGGTTATATAAGCAATGGGCTTATTGAAAGGAGTAGAAGTGGATTCTGTGGGATTTTTTAACATACAAAATATCATATTAATTATTTTCAGTTTTTATTTTGTATGAAACCTTTCAAAATGAAGAAGAACTCCTGCGTGCAAATAAGCATAAAGCAATTATTTATGATCTTTTCCCCTTATCATTTTTATTTGATTATACACATCAACTTGTAAAAACATAAAAAATTATTATTTTGAGGATTAAGTTTATATACTTGAAAGAATTTTAGCTGTCCTTTAAAATAGAAATATTAATATTTTCTGGGTTCTTAAAGGAATTTTAACTAAATCATAATTTGAAAAAAAAGGTGTCTTGATAGGAACACTTCACAGGGCAGGTCTAATTCCCTTCATTATTTATATTCAGTCTCTTGGGTGATAGAGAAATGCTTCCTAAAGGAAACATCGGTTTTTGCTTTTTTTCCCTCCACAATACAGCATTGTCACACCGGTAAAAACAGAAATAGAAACAAGACATTGCCATTTATTCTCTTATTTAACAGATATACCCATCCACAATAAATGACTTTAAGGACCTTTCTATTTAAGGTCACCTTTTACAAACATTGTAAAAATCACTATAATACACTTTTATACTATATTCGTGTGTGTCTTTTTTTTTAATTAAATTTTATTAGTTTTAAAGAACATTTACAGAGATTTTGGGTTTTCATTCATTCATTGTTGCACTGTTTTCTCCACCCTCATCCCCAGTT